TGCTAGAGGTGAAGAAGTAGATAGGATTCCCATATGGGTAATGCGGCAAGCTGGACGTTATCTTCCCGAGTTTAGAGAGTTACGGTCGCGTCATGATTTTTTTACAATTTGCCGGACACCTGAACTGGCTTGTGAGGTTACCCTTCAACCTATAAAAAGATTTAATTTAGATGCTTCCATTATATTCAGTGATATTTTAGTAATTGTCCAAGCATTAGGAATGGATGTAGAAATGCAGCCTAGTGTGGGTCCAGTCATATCTGACCCTTTAAAGGAACCATGTGATCTAGCTAAACTAAAAGAAAATGTTGATGTACACAGTGAATTGGGATATGTTTTTGAAGCCATTACTCTTACGAGGCATAGACTTAATGGTCAAGTAAGTCAAGTAATTGACCAATAACTTGATATATTTATTTTCCTTAACTAATTTATAGGTACCTTTAATAGGATTTAGTGGAGCTCCTTGGACATTAATGTGTTATATGATAGAAGGAGGAGGATCTAAAACAATGTCCAAATCAAAGAAATGGCTCTATAAGTATCCAGAAGAAAGTAAACAACTACTTCAAAAACTAACTGATGTTATTATAAAATATATGGTAGAACAAGTCAAAGCTGGCGCTCAAATGCTACAAATTTTTGAATCTAATGCAGAGTATTTAAATTTAGAACTTTTTAATAGGTTTGTGCAAAGCAACATTCTGTTGTAAAGAAATAAAATAATTATATTTGATGATAGGTTTAGTGGTCCATACTTATCAGCTATTTGTACAGGAATAAAAAATGAATTAAAAGATCAAAGTGTACCTATGATCGTGTTTGCTAAAGGTGGTCATTATGCATTGAGAGAACTGTCGAGTTTTGGTTATGAAGTTATTGGTTTAGATTGGACTATTGATCCAATTCAAGCAAGACAAATTGTTGGTGATAATGTCACGTTACAAGGGAATTTGGACCCTTGTGCTTTGTATGGATCACCAAATCAAATAAAAGAGATGGTTCATGATATGAAATTAAAATTTACAAAACAAAGGTATATTGCTAATTTAGGTCATGGTATATATCCAGATGTTGATCCACAACATTTAAGAGCAATGATTGATGCTATACATGAATGATAATTTAAAAAAATTTTTTTTAATTTACATATTTATTATATTTAATTAGATTTTATAGTATGGAATTGGTCATAAAAATGTATGTTAATTATTTGGTAATATTGTGTTTTCAATAAAAAATTGTTATAATATAAAGGAGTCATTTAGTTCTATTACAGTTTCAAAAATAAAAAATTGATGTAAATGACTAATTAAAAAATGTGAACAAAATCGGCTTGTTCATAAAAATTAATATATTAACATCTATATTGTAGATAAATTCAAATTTATATGATATATTTCTTTTACATTTTAGAAAGGATTCAGAACTCATAACTTATGATAAATCTGATCAAGTTGTATTAAATTTAAAAACATTATTTCTATTAGTATCGAGATAATAATAAAATTTATTTTTACTTAAAAAGTATTATTCTATATATAACAAGCAAATTTATCTTAGTTTAGAACAAATTTTATGATTTCATCTTCTTTATATCAAATGTGGTGAGATTACGAGATGCTTGAGTATGAATTTTGCTTAGTCATTTTTTATATTAGGGGCATGAGAGTAAATATTTTTATTTTAAAGTGAAAATTATAATTTTGAAATCTGTATGAAAGATAAATTACCTTATGAAAGAAAATATAAATTTATCAAAAGATACTGAATGCTATTTCATATATTTTTAAGAAATTAGATTCCACAAATTTCGTCCATAATTATTCACAAAATAAGGTTCATGTCTAAAAAAATTAACAAATCATACAGAACCGATTTATTTTAGCTTCGATGCGAATTAATTTCGAGGTATTAATTTTATTCTTTTTTTTTTGTCTGTCGCCATTTTTTTTTAGCTTTCACTGGACCGATTTCTTTCATAAATACGTCAAAATATCACTAATGATATTTTGAATATCATGAATGAATGTAGTTGAAGACATTACCTTTAAAAAGTGAAAAAAATTCCCTAATTCCCTATAAATAGAGTAAATCTACAAAATTTTTTTCAAATCGGTAAATTCTGACATTTAGTTTTCTTAAAACTGTCATAACTTTTTGAAAAATGAACGTATCAAAATAACTTTTTTTTTTATTTAGAAACCTTAGGTATTTTCATGTTATTTTACATAATTTTCTTGAAAACTGACTCTTTACTTGTCCACAGGAGGATTCAAAATAGTAACTCTTTCACAAAATTTAATGTTTTCAACCTAACATTTGTAAAATGTTCCAGAAATACGGCGTCCTTAAACATATCTTAAATAAAAGCTTGTTATGTACTATAAATTAAAAAGAAAAATTTGTCATGACGACTTATCTTCTATTTGCAATGAGTTGAACAAAAAATTGGAGTTCATTTTGCCTTTAGAATAATCCACTAATTCCTTAAAATTAAACTCTATCTTCAGACTTATATTGAAGCGTTTCTTATGATAATAATTTTAATCATTGTCTGATAAAATTTATACTTGTCCCAACTATGCCCACGATCCCACTGTGCTAGTTTTTTTTTAAAATAACACTAATTGTAAACAAAAAAAATTGTAACTTTTAAATATAACAAGATTACACTATTAGTGACAGATTTATGGAGGAGATCCACACACCAATATCACATTATTAAGTACGCAAGGTAAGATTGATACATCATCCAAGTAAATTTTATTCTTAAAGGACCCACCTCCAGAAATTATTGAAAGGTTGCCATTACAAACAATTATCTGCAGTTTAAAATTAACTATAATTTTTCAGCAAATATAAATTAATTGTATAAAAAAATAAATATTCACATTTTTATTATATTAATTTTCCAAAAACTACCATTATAATATTCAAATCCAAATTCGATTTAAGAACTTAAAATTGCTCAATTTTTTCATTGTTTATAGAAATATTAAATTTTTAAATTTACCTTTGATAATCACTTTATTTTAGCATTGCCTTAACCTTTAAAATACCAATCAAACTGTCCAACTGAGTTATATTTATGGTCTTATTACTACTGAAGGAACTTCCTTAATGCAGCAAGACATTACTATTATCAAAATTCCAACACACTATTTTCTGAGGAAATGATCATTTTAACAGGAAATTTTTCATTATTATACAGCAACTTTAATAATAACATATGCTTCAAAAAGGTAGCAAAATAAAATAAATTAAAATAATTTTAATAAAGCTACAACTATTCATTTTATGATCACATGAAATGAATTCTTTAATGTACAGTTACGCAACTGTGATTAGTTTGAAATAATTTAGAGTACTTTAATAAGAACTATGAACATTTCATAACAGAATTATTTTCATTAGATGATATTAAAACAATTAGCAATATAAAGTCAATAGGAATAATAATAAAGTGGATTTTTTCTTAGTTTGAATACTACTATTGTGTCTGATTATTATCACAGATATAATTTGTTCAACAAAGTACAAATGTTTTATCATAGACATAAGCAATTATAAACACTAAATTAATTTTTACATACGAATGGTTCATACATATGTAATATACTTCTGGAAGTTTAAAAACGGGATGCAGAGAAATAAAAGGTATTATTACTATTAATAATAATAATAAAAAAAGTTTAAAATGAAAATCATTTTTTTAAGTAAAAAACAAGGAACACTAAAAATGATGTGCACTAATATATTAATTGGCAAACAGAAAGTATAGACTGAATCCTTCAACTTTTGGTTAAAAAAAAGTAGAATTGTATTTTAATATATAGAATAAATATCTAGTATTTATTACACGTTAAATAAATTGTATTCGCTTGGTAAAGAATAAACTGGGATACTGTAAGACATGGATTGGTAAGTAATAAAGAATGTTAGTGAGATGCGCATTGTACATTTCTGGTTGGGCCATCTTCATCATTGTATGCTTCACGTCTTTCACGTCTTCTAGATTCATACTCTGGATCCATCTCGATTAATGAAACTTCNAAATGATATATTTTTAATGAGTATGAATAATTAAATACCTCAAGTAAAGACTACGTCAAATCATGACATTCACACATTGATTATTTTGAAGTTATAAAATTATCGAAAAACTTTAATTTGAATTAAAAAAGTATTTGCACCATACAATTACACATATAATGTTTATGTTTTACAAGTTGTTCTTATGGGAAGTATTTTATTAAAATAAGAGTCGATTATCTCTGTTAATAATGAAAAATCCATAAGGAACTATTTTAAAAGTGGCCACATTTTGTTCCATACTTTATTGTTTTACAATTATGTTAATAACCATACTTACTAATAAGAACTATTAATTTTCAGTCCAACTGTGCACCTAAATCATATATTTTTTTAAATATCACTTATACCTTTTGCATTCCAAGCATCTCATATTATACTAAATAAAGGTTATCTATCTCATCATTGCTGAAGTCAAATCAGCTTTATATAAAAAGTGATTTACTTTTTTTTATCAGATGAAGTTTAAAATTTACGTTTATAATTAATGTAAGAAATTCATATATTTTATGATCAAGCAATTTACAAATGTTTTTGTGCCTAAAGAAAACACATTATTGTGACAGATTTAAAGGGAAATTATTAAAACTTTTGTGCTGAATATATAAACAAAATATATTTTTTGATCTTTTAACATATTGTTGAATAACAGCCTAGTAGGTACAGATATGAATAGATCTGAACAGACACAAACAAAAAACATATCATAATAAAATTAATACCTTCTCATTTTTCTATCAAAGCTAAGAAAGTGAATCAAAAGTTATTTTTATATTACGTGTACCTTTACCAGATATTTTTATTAGGCACCAGTTATTCAATATTAATACATTATTTTTATTCTTTTTTTCTTTGACAGCAATATTATCTTACAATTACCCAATACGTTAGCGAAACTTAAATATTGGAAAATAACAATACAAATTGTTTTCATACTATGCAGTGGTAACTTTGTGAGTCATTAGATAAAAGCAAATAATCAAATATCATATATACAGGTGTTATATCAAGTGTATATTAATTTGTAACCATTTTTAGACAGTCCGTATTGTCTTACACAACTATGGGCCATAAAAAGGCTGCTCCGGATAACGCACACAAGCATGTCAAATATAACAACTACTGTTTAAAAATCATTAGTTTAAACATAGAAAACTACGTATTTTTGACTAAAAGTCTGTACCCAGACACCTTAAAATATATGATTATAGAAATTAAATTTATTATGAAAGCTCAATTGAACTAAAAATTTGACTTCAGAAAAGTTTAATAAGTGATAAAAATATATTGGTTAATTTAATTTTTTAAATTTTACAAGGTCAAATATTAAGTTGGGTTATAATTTTAAAAACGACTTTAAACTAAATTGGGCTTTTACAAAAAATAATATAACAAATTCCTAAAAAAAAAAAAATTTGATAGTTGTCCACTTCTTAAATATGGTAACAATATTTAAAGAAACCAATATTATTTCAGTTCCTAGCCCTGATATTAATAGTAATACTTAATATACGTACCGAGCTGGAAGACAAGATTCAAGTTGAGTAATTTTTTGAATAGGCAATTTATCAGGAAAATTAACCAAAAACTGTACTATCATACGTCCTTTCTCAAATGGATTTTTATACTGAGGCATACCTTCATTCATAATACACTTAACATCACCATGTTTCAAAACTTCACCTATTTTGATGTTTACAAAATTAAAATTTTTACAATAGTAAATTATAAAAAATACTATCATAAATAAAAATTTACCTGGAATAGCAGTAACAACCAAGGAACGATCATCTAAAGTTTTAATGACTTTTTGGAATCCACATAAAGCTTCAACTAATTCTATCTCCATTCGGAGAACAAGATCACTACCATTTCTCCTAGAATTTTAATATTTTAAAAATTAAGTTTCCATTAATTTAATTAATAATTAATATAACAGATAATAAATAATTAATGCAACAAACAAATCATACTCAAAAGGATTTTACAGCGTTTTTGAAAATAATGTAAGGTTAAATTATAAGTAGTTTAATAATTATTTATTTACTTGGTGATAATTTAAATATCAAAGTAGAGCTTACTTGTATACACGATGTTCTCGTTCATCCAATACAATAATTATGTCACCAGGTTCAAGACTAGGTTCTTGATCACCTTCACCACTAAAAGTAATTTTTTGTCCATCTACCATACCTTTATCAACATTAACTTCCAAAATTTTTCGTTCACGATTAACCTAAATATTTTAAATGTACATATATTATTTATTCACTAATATAAAATATATGAAAATTTAATGGCTATCTCAAAAAAAAATCTCACTTTTTTGCCATTGCATGTCCGACATCTATCTTTAGGGTTTATGCGTTCACCCTGTCCACGACATTCACTACACATAGATTGCACTTGTTGGATCATTCCTGGTCCCAACTGATGAATTTGAACTTGAATGCCACTACCTTGACAACCGGGACATGATTCTACAGCTCCCTTTTTTCCACCTCTACCTTCACATTTATCACAAATAACATTTTTTTCTAGAGCTAATTTTCGCACACATCCATTATATAGGTCTTCAAGAGAAACACTTAGCTGGTGTACAACATCTTTGCCTTTTTGAGGACCACGGCGACCACGACCACTATGACCAGATCCACCAAACTGACCAAAGAACATGTCAAATAGATCCATAGGTGAAGAGAAGGAGTTGCCAACTCCACCTTCTTTAAGAGCTTGTTCTCCACCTTGATCATATAAACGTCGCTTTTCAGGTGTAGAAAGAACTTCATAAGCTTGAGATATTTGTTTGAACTATCAATAACAAATAATGAATTTAACTATTACTTGATTAAACTAAATACGCTAACTTTGTTTCATATAAATTGATTATTTAAGCATATGCTAAATTAAGGTTACAATTTTAAATACATGTTATTATTTTTTTATATTAACAGATAGTAAAAAATAAATACATCATGGTAAAATTAATACTTTTCCCGTTTCGCATTGAAGCTAAACATACGACAATTATTAGGGAATTTTGAGTTTATGAATTACACTTCACAAAATATAATGTTATAAAAATAGGTATATTTTCATTAAATATTTGGTTCAGCACTACTTAAAATAAATAATTTAAAAATATTTTTTTTAATTACTATTATATATTAATTATTAGATATGCATAACATTTATAAATAAATTATAATTTAATATCCATTAAGTAATTAATATAAATATATTATTAGTAGTCCATGTAAGTTTAAATAAATAATATAGCATAGNAAATTTATATTTTTTAAGACTACTGTTTGAATATATAAACCAATGCTAATCAATCTAACATCGTGAGTAAAGAGTAATTCTAACCTCTCAATTCATAGTTTAATGAAATAGTACATTAATTGTTAAACACAAAAATACTAACTATATAACATGTAAAAATAAGTTGGATGTTTAAAATCCCAAAAAAATACGATCATTACAAGTTTAACTCTTAATTATAATTAACAAGTTACTAAAAAGAATAAAATTGTAAACATATAAATAATCCATAAATAATAATTAACAAAATGGCGAATTTCTAAAATACTAAAAATTATGTCTAAAAGAAAATACCAATATCGATTGAGAAAAATTCATGTGCATTAAGGGTCAGCTGTTGTAATGCGGCTGTAAGATTCCTAACGAGACACCCTTGATGGTTATAGCATGATGTAACTTTGAATCTATATTAATAAGCAAATACAGGAAAGATTTACTTACTTCCAATGTCCCGATAATATTTTAAGATTTCAACAATCGACTAAATAATACACCGAGATATTGAGAATTTTTGCTTTCTTTGTGTGATGCGAAACAACACGCGCTATCCAATTTGTACAAAGAACAACTCTTGGGTAACCAAAACGAATAAAGAAAGACCGTCCATACGTTTGATCGAATGAGTAGGCAAACTAAATTCTAGAACGTTCGAGTAGCTGCGTTTGGACCTGTTAGACGTAAAATCTCCTGTGCATATTTTCAATACTCCTTGAAGTTTATTTCAAACACATCCCTTTAAAAAAATTACTTTATTTTTCATAACTTATGTTGCATGCACTGTAACCATCATAGACTTCTACGTCGCGACATAACATTATCCTGGAGAACTGCAAGTGCGGTCGTTGAAATTAGAGAGATATTGCATATTTTATTTTTACAAGAGTAAAATAGAAGATCGAGTCCGAGAATAGTTATTTAGAGAAAACCCATTGTGGTATCACTACTGTCCTCGGATTATACTCCGCCTACTTCATATGCGTTATCAAATCGAATGTTCCGTCTAGATGTATAAGCCTATGACTGTAATTGTCTATTCTAAACACGATAATAAATTAAATAATTGATAACTACAACTGAATCGGTTTTACTTATTCTTTAACTTTATTATCTCAAATTATTATGGTTTTTAAAGAAAAAAGTTTAATATAAATTCAAAAAACGAAATAGTAATGTATGTTTTCATATATATATATATATATAAATTCATATATTAATTATAATGATTTTTTACGTTAAATATTGTTTACGTGTAATAATCTTATTTCATTATTTTTTTAATTAAACAATAAGGAATAAAAGAAAGACTGACGTTTTATTTAAAACATACTGAATTTATTTAATGTCAATAAATACATGTAAATATATGATAAACTTATTTAACTGGTTATTTTATTTTTTATTACTGTATTGTATGCAATCAAAAATATAATAAACTAACTTAATAATCTGTAGAAATATAATAGGAGTCAGCCTGTTCCTAGTAGGTTGAAATATATGTTTTGGCGCACAGGGTACCGGATTTGATTTAGGGAACCAACACATTTTTCTTGTGATTTCCTCATTGGTGATGTATATTTTCTGTTGAAACCCAGAAATATCCGTCATTGGCTTAAACAAGAACCATTTTTGACTTTTTAACATGTGAAAGAGGGTCATTACCATTTGTGGCATGTTATGCTTGGGAAATAGAAGGATGTAAAAAATGATCTGTAGGGATTAGATATTTTCATAAGTTTAAAATGGTAGGTTTTGATTCCCTACATTTTTTGATTATTATTTTGGTTTCCCAAATAGTAGACATATGAATACATTTAGGTATTCGTATGTGATGTACTAGGGAGTTAACCAATGAAAGCATGGTGGATTATCTAGGTATAATTAATTTTGATTATATTATCTGTATGATTATATTAGTCAATTAAGAAAATTTTTAATATTTTTTTTGTTATAATTTTTAGAAATTCCTAAGAATCAAGTATGGCAGCTTATATGGTTCAAAAGACTGTTATGTCCTTTTGCACTTGTGGTTTATTGAAAATATTACCCGATTTATTTTTTTGTCGTCATTGTTTAACATTGCGATGTGATTATTGTGTAAGTCATGAAATAGATACTACATTTTGTCCACATTGTTTTGAAAATCTTTCTTCTACTGAAGCTAAGCATAAAAAGAATCGTTGTGCTTCTTGTTTAGAATGCCCAAGATGTTTTAATACTCTTTCAACAAGATCTTATTCTCGTCAAACAGATCCAAAAAAACCCCCTCAGAAATTGTATTATTTACTTTGTCTATTCTGTAATTGGCGATCACATGAACCTATTGTTCCGGATCAACCAACCTCATCAGGTAATTGGCCTATTTACAAAAATCCAAATGAAGCTCGAATTACCGAACTCATAAATTACTATAAATCGTTGACATTAAAAGAAATTTTTGATAAGCAAAAAAAGAGTACCAAAAACTATGGGCGTAATTATATGCATTTTTTGGAAAAATTTGGTTTGAATGCTATGATGGCAAGGAAACGTGCTGGTTTACCAAATTTTCCATTAGATGGGAATACAATCAATACACCTCAGCTTAGTTTAGCTGAAGCTGTAGAAGATGTCCCTGAACTTCCAAATGATATTTTTGAAGCTGATATAGATTTTAAGAATATTTCTACTTTAGAACAACGATTTGCAACTCCAGATTTTCAAGATGAAAATATTGATAATCTATATCCTATACGTAAACATCTTCATGTAAAACATTCACTTCGTTGTAGAGTTTGTGAACATAATGTTGTAAAACCGGAATATAATGCTGTGAAATTTAAAATAAAACACTTAGCTTATTATCATGTTCCTGAGATAAAAGTGATTAAATGTGATCCTTTACAACCAGGAAAAGTGAGTCAATTAATTTTAAAATTGTGTAATCCTGCTCAAACTTTAACAGTTGTGAGCTTTGAAAAATTAAATTTGTCAACTATTAATGAGGTGAANATATAAATGAGGTGAAAGAAACCAGGCGACTTGAAAATGATGATCAAATACCACCAAAAAAATTACCCGAACCAATCAATATAAATTTAAGCCTAATAAATGATATTGTCATTCCTAAAGGCGAAATTAAAATTGCTGCCAGAGATGATACAGCCGAGTATGATGATACAAATGAAGTAAATATTGATATTGATGACCCAAAATATATCTCTTGGAGAAAAGGAAATAAGGTCGCTTTGAAATTTGAAATTCAAATCCCTGATAATGAAGAAATAAAAGCTAATGTTCAGGTGGGATTTGTTATGAATTTCACATATTTAGACACAATTCCACATGTTGCAACCTTGCCAAAACAACCACAAAGTGTATTAGTACCATTAAAAATTGTTTTGAATTTACCATCTAATATTTAGTTAAATAATTTTATAAACAAGCTATAATTTTAGTTTTTTCAAAACCATTTATAAGTTTAAATAAAACTAAAGTTAAACAAAATTTTGTTATTTTATTTTTTCATATAAAAATTATATGATTAATAAATCTAAAGTTGAATAACTTGTAATTGTGTATACAAATCTATTTTATATTAAGTGTTTACTTGAAGCTTTAACATAAATTGTAACTATTTTGATGTCTTGTTCATTGTATAAAAATAAGATAAAGCATATATTTTTACATCTATAAATTTATTAATTCAGAAAAGGGCGGTTTTGACTCTTTTTAATGTAATTTATATCAATATAATAAAATATAAAAAAAGAAATATAGTTATCTTACATTAACTTGACAATATTAAATCTATATAATTACTAAACATTGAATTCCCTAAAATTTTTATAATAGTTATACATTTATTTATATATATAATCCATAACATTTATGAAACATCCAAGATAAATACACTCGTGGCTCTAAAATTACTGTAATACATAAAAAAAAATTATTCCTTAATGGTGTATTTTTTTAAAAAATTGGACATAGTTTTAATTTTGATTAGAGAGGGTAGTACAATTTTTCTTTTATTTTACCAATGTCATAGAAATAGTCATTACACCATTACTCTTAAAATAATAATTATACTAAGAAAATTCGTTTTACATTTTCAACATTAAATTACCATGACTTATTTCAAAATATGTGTATCATCATATTGATACATACATTGTATCAATTGTATTTATACCATTAATACATTTTTTTTTTTTGTAAATAGTGTATACATACATAACTCTTTTATCTGATATACTTTTACTATTTATCTTTTATATCTTATAAGTATAACAACTTTATTTTATAAGGTGACATACATATTTAACTAGCTTATAGATTAAAAAATAGTCTAATTAAGAAAATAACTGGTCGAAAACAATTGTTGGACTAATATTACAGAACTTATTAACATTTTTGTACTTGGAAGGGAGGAATATTGACGTCGAAAATAATATAGAGATAAAAATGCAGCTTCTGTGCTTCACTTACCTTCAGTGCTATAAATAGTTATTAAGTTCTAAAATACTGGTAC